TAAAAATGCTTGTAAAGTGGTAATTTACTTAGCAATAAAGCCTCCTAGACTCACTCATTTCTGTGTAAACATATAAAGGACTGTTATGTCTAAACAACTGTTGCACCCGTTGCTTGTAGAATTCTGTGGGCAGTTGGTTGGCACTGTGTGAACAGAATGACTAGATGGGCCATTGGTCTGATCCAGCATGTCTTATGTTTTTGTGTTCACTGTAGATACTGGCCTGTTCAGTTTTCTAAAACTTGTGCCTGGAACAGCTCCTCCCAAAGATGGAGCTGCATGTCTCAACTTGAAGACTGGCAGTTCCAAAGCTCCTTTGGTCATTCAAATCATTCACTCCTAAGTCAGATCATCTGAAGGAACATGTAAAGGGATTGAAAAAGGCTAATTTTCATCCAGATGAGATGCTTACAGCATTCTTGCCATTTTAAAATAAATAGCTCAGGATGGAGAACCTAGAGTTTATAAACATACCAATTACTGTCTGAGGCAACAATTAGCCACACAGGTTGAAGCTAAAAGAATGGTCCAGAACTGCCCATCTTCAAAAGAAAGATCCTATTCTATCTTTGAGAGGTGTTGCACTGGACACAAGCCCAGAGAAAGCACACTGACAGCATCTGAAACAGTTGCATTCATCAGTTGCATCACCCCATTCTGTTCTCTGCCAGAAGTAATTCATTTTCTTCAAGCACTCTAGTATACCTCTGTACTGCCCTTTAACTTTTTGTATCAACTAAGAATTCAAGTTGTCACCAAAAACTGTACACATGAAACATCGACCTTCAGTGATTTCTTCACCCCTTTGACCCCACATTTGCTCCTGAAACATTCATTTTATAGAAGGAAACCAATAAAAGTAAGAAATATACTACAAGGCAAAGGTTAGGCCTGAGACCCAAATGTTCAAAATCATTTCCTCGATTAATGTACACCTCAGTACTCGATTCTGAACCCTTATTTTCTACAAAATTAGTTTTCCACGTAGACCTCTCCAAATCAATTTCCACAGAGGGCAAAGTCACAGAGGGCAAAGAAGGTGTGAAATTTCAAATGATCAATTGCTCTCTGTAAACAGCAACCTGATGTGCCAACCTGCTTCCAGTATACTACTCATCCAAATACCAGTGCAGTACTCTAGATTCTTGTGCTGAAGATGGCAAGAAGCATCCCTTTTGCCGTCCTGTGGCTATGACTGAGATCCTAACCCCTGCCCCCACTAAGCCATCATTTTATGGGGAAAAAGAAGGGCTGATTTTTTTTTCTCAGGATGGCAGTTCAACACTGTGCACTCCATATGTGAATGGTTTTTCCTAACCAATTTAAAAAGATCCCACACAACAGAAAATTGTTGTCCACTAGTTCATAGATATCCAGATAGACCATGTGCCAATTAACACTGACCACAAGTTTCTAACTCCAGGCTCATAGAAGTGCCTCTATGCTAGCTGACATTCTCATTTTTCAGGACTGTGTAAAATATTGATGCCCAGAATGAGAAAACCATCTGCAATAACATATAACTGGATAACTTTTATTGTTTGATATACCTTAGTTAAACAAAAGTTTAACTTGTCCATCTAAACATATTAAAAAGTGAACATATGCCCAAGAAACCAAGCATCCTTTTTCAACTGGCAACAGTTGATTGGCTTTAATTTCAATCCACACCCTTTCAATTTGAGAATAAAGTCCCCCCCTCCCCATAAAAATAAGTATCCTCATATGGTGACTGAGAAGCCATCCCTACTCATTTAGATCATTGTTAATGGCTCCTTGAGATAAGGTAAACATTTTATTTCCCTTGAAGAAGCAGCTTGTCAATTCTTTTACAAGATAGTGCTAATTTGCACACTAGAAATGGCTCACTGGGAAAAGTATCAGTCTTGAATCTATTCTTCTTGGGCATGGGCCAACAGCTCAGGAGTTAGAGAAATGACTCATTGCCATGAACTCTCAGTTTCAAACAAGATAGATTTGATATAAATCACAATTTAAATCACTAGTCAGTAAGACCAGATTTAAATCATGTTTTCTACATAAATTTGCACATATGTCTACCTTACAGGTAGTAGAATTAAAATATTCCCAAATTGGGTCTCTTTCATGGCCTGCAGCTATTTATAGGTTTTTTCCTCCAGGGAAAGAGTAATATGCTAAACCTTAGGTTATAAATAAAAATATCCGAAGACTTGTGGATTATTCTGTTCAAAAGATTTCACTTTCATTTTTACTGTTCTTTCCTCCCTTCTCACACTTATCTTCTTGTGCAGATCTATTCCATTCCCAACAACCTTCTATTCATTGAATTTTTTGAAACTTAGCATTTAAGAGGTAATATGTGTACATATATTTACAAAGGAACAGTGGGATTAAGGTATTTTCCCTCAACTCTGTATGTTTATTTTATAACATTTTTTGTGTAAAGAAGCATGTAAGAGACAAATTCAGAGTTTTGAGAACTGTAAAACCAAGAAAACTATCTTTAGATAATTTTTCCTCAAAAATATTTTATTAAAAATCCTATTTAAATTTTAAAATCCAATTTAAAAAAAGATGATGTTTATCCACCCTGGTTTCAAGGAAACAGATGAAAAGGCCCTGATAGTGGTCAAAACTTCCTCCTATTTTTCATCAGAAAGCTTGTGGAAGATGGAAGCCTGAGAAGATAACAGTGTTCAACAACTACCAACTCCACACCAGCAACACCAGTGCTGCTTGAGGTAATTTACAAGATGCTACCCTTCCCTATTCCAAGTACAGAAGCAAACAGCTTATAGAAAACTTATATCAAATTGCAGTTCATATCCTTGTCTATAGATTGCACTTGTAAAAATAATGGAATGAACACTTCATGATGCTCCTGCAGTGTAAACTCATGGATTTGAATAATGGATCCTTATGTTATTTAAATGGAGGACCCCATTCCCAGTCCACGGCTGAATTAGATGTTGCATTCATTTCCGTAGACTACAACACATACATCATAGTTACATAGTCACCCCCGCCCCCAAATAACTAGTTTGTTTGACAGAAACATATTGAAGGATTCATACGTTATGAATCTTACTATATGACTGCATTTCCAAATAATGAGTGCATTTGAGGAGTGCTTGATATACTTAATTTACAATATAGGAAACATAATTATACTCCTGGAATGCAAAACTCGTGCAGATCAAGAAGCACCACCTTAAGATAATAAAGCTAATTAAATGCCCTATTCATTCATTCATGTTTACATAGACTGTCACAATAACCACATGGTTCTCTGGACAGAAGATAGTCTTAACGTTGTATAGAAAATTATTAGAACTGGCACTAGGCAAGCCTCAGTGGAGAGCTTGTTCCATAACTGAGGGGGCCATCACTGAGAAGGTCCTTTTCCTTGTTCCCAACAACTCTCTCGGAGGTGTCGAAATGAGGTAGGTCCCAGATCTTGAGGACACTCTCTGGGTAGAGGGCAGTCAGGAGAAGCATTCAATCAAGTACTGTGGTAAGGTATTATGATAATAAGGATGAGGGCACCAGCACAAAGCCAGAATTTATTCTATGATAATTTTGCAGTTAATAGACACAGACCATGGATTTCTGAAAATTTCAAAAAATGCTCTATAATGTCTCTAGTTCAAGATTTCATACCACCATAGATGATGGAATTCATGTTTTTTATGATTTACACTTACATGGATATAAATAAAATAGAGAATTTGGAGCAATTCCATGTAAAGTCATAATGGTCCATGCCTCTGATCCTGGTTTAGTGTCAAAGAAATGACATTAATACTGTTCACAATACATCTTGCGGAGGTAGATTTGGACTGTGATTTAACTGCAGACATAAGGTTACAGAGGATCTATACCATTTTGGGTGATGATAAGCTGAAGCAGATTTTTTTTTTGTTACAGTTCATGGAGAGTGATATGAAAGGAATTTTGTGCTGGATGTGGGATAATTCTATGTACAAACTGCAAGGCCATGAAAATGAATTCTTGTTCCATGCTGTTGATCTGTTAGTTTTGCGGTATAGTCCATGATTCTACTAAATGATCAAGGGGTTGGAGAAACCCAGGGTCTTCCTATATTGCTGACTGGTGGGAGACTCAGGTCAGATATAAGGAAGGAGTGCTTTGCCACCGCCAATTCACCGCCAAAGGAAATTGTCACCGGTCACCAGTTTGGATGGCTTTAAAATGGGATCGGACAAGATCATGGAGAAGGCAAACAATGGCTACTAGACTTGTTAGCATGTGTTAACCCTGTTATCAGAGGAAGTATATGCTTGCATAGACCAGCTGCTGGGGAGCTTGGGCACGCGCAACTCTTGTACTCATCCTGCTTGAAGGATCCTATGAACAACTGGTTCACCACTATGTGAACAGAGTGCTGGACAGCACAGTCTGACCTTGCCAGGCTTGTTTGATATTCTTATACAGTGCATTAGTGCATAGGTGGACAGCCGATGCCATGGGTTCGTCACAAGTGGCACAGGATAGCCTGCATTCTTGCATTTTACTCAATGCATTGCTTCTACCACCTAGCTCAGGAAGGAGAGGCAAAACCATACCTGGGTGAGTGAAAACTATACCTGGGTGGGTGGTGGGAAGCCATATATTGCACTCCTACTTCATATTTTGCTCTGAGAAACTTGGGTGTGCATTCTTGCTGAAAAGGCTGCAACTGTTCCAGCGTCAAACACTATGGACAACAATCTTGTCAAATCAATGTTTCCAAATGAGCAACCATACTGTACTTAATACAGTGCCCCCAAACAAAGATTGGCGCCCCCTACTTAACCCATTCTGTACCCAATCCTCATATTAGATGTTGCTGTCTGTTCCCTATTAGCATTCCGCTGGAGTCTTGGCCAACCCCAGTCACTAACAGGATCCCTTCTACACGTGAGACGACAGGTCGGTTTAAGATGATCGAGGAGCTACTCGTCCGCGTCAGGTGCTCTTGAATAAACGTCCCGCTCCTTTCCGGTCGCGAAACTTACTTCAGCTCTTCGGATGGTGCCTCTTCCTCCCTCAGCTTTCCCCTGGCCCAGACTTGTGCCTCGGCCTCGCCCTCCCTCCGGGCCTCTCGCCCTTTTCCCTCTTGCTGCTGCTGCTGCTGCTCCGGCTCCGGCTCCGGCTCCGCCCCGCCCGCCAATTCCACGCTCTCCTCCCTCCCTCAACAGAAATAACGGCCGCGAGTGCGCCGCCTGTCTGTCACGGGGATGCCCCGCCCAGCTCCGGGGCTCAGTCCGCTCAGCGCGTGCCCGCCCGCTGCTCGGCTCCTCCTCCTCGGGCCTCGCGTGATTTTTATCGCAGCCGTTCCCCCCACGCGCACACGGACAGCGCACTTATTAATAAATAAACCGACAGACAAACAAACAAACAAACAAACGCTTCCTGCCCCTTCTTTCCTTGCACCCGTCCGTTCTCCCGCTACCGTCTCTGTCGCGCGCTTTCCCGCGAGGCCGTGTGTGGAAAGCGGCATTTCTCTTTAACGCCCTCCCCTCTCTTTCCCCCTCCGCCTTTTGCGCTCTCTCTCTCTCTCTTTCTTGGGCGACAAGGCAGCAACGTCGCTGTTGGTTTGGGAGAGGGGGAGGACAACTGGGAGGAAGATGAGGAGTCCCTTCCCGTGATTCCCGCATTTGCCCTCCCCCGTCCTTTTCCTCCTCCTCCTCCTCCTCCTCCTCCTCCTCCTCCTCTTAATTCCGCGATGCGATGGGTTAGGCGGCTCGTAGCCAGCAGCGGAGCTGAGAGAAGAGCAGCCGAGCGAGGCGGCCACGAGCGGCGGCGAGGCCTTGCTGAGGCGCGGGTGGTAGAAGCGGCGGCGGCGGCTGCTGCTGCTGCTGCTGCTGCTGGCGGCGGCGGCGGCGGCGGGGTAGGAGGAGGAGGTGGACGAGGAAGCCGCCGGCGGGAGCTGCTTTGCCCCACGGTCCTCTCCATGGACAGCGGGTTGGAATTATGAGCCGGCTGGAGCTGCTGGCGCCCGGGACTCGCCCTCGCCCCAAAGGGTTTTCGCCCGCTCCGCGCTTCAGGGTGCCAGCGGGGCTTCTCTCTCACCATCAGCATCACCATTACTACTACAGCACTAGCCACCCCGACGCTTCACCCCCTCCGCTCGCTGCCCGAGCCCCCGGCCCGTCCGCCTCACGGGGGCATCCCTTACCCTGGCGACAGCCGACCTCCGTGCTCACCACAAGCAGGGGGCGCCTTCGGCTGGTGTGAACCCCCTGCTCTCCCCGACCCCCCTTTCTCACCTCAGACCAGAATCCACCCGGCACTGTACCCCCGACCGACCCCGGCCCCTCGCCCCAAGAGCTCCGTATGTGGCCCTCCCCCCACTTGTTCCCCCACGGCGTGCGTGCTCCCCATTTAGTTTTGCCAGGGAAGCTCATTCTCCTCTCCAGGACTCTCGCCCCCCGCCCCCCACGAAGCCCCCACGCGTTATCAGCCCTCTTCTCTCCCCGCTCCGCTTCCTCGCCACTGACCAGGTAGAGGCGCGCGCGTGTGTGTGAACGAGAGAGGGGGCAGGAATCCTTCATCGTCACTCCCCTCTCACCTCACCCAACCTCCCCGGACGGCCGTCCCCGTCCCCCGTCCCCGGCGAGGCATTAATGAGGCTGCCGATTGATTAAAAAGTATTGATTTGTATGTATTTCACCCAGCGCCGGTGGCGGCGGCTGTTGCTGCTGCCTGTGCCGCCGCCTGCATCAGTCCAGTGTTTTCCCAATATAGATTGTTGTCGCTGAAGCTCCGTCCACCAAATATGTCGGCTCCCGCTGGGCCCCGGGGCGGCCCTGTTCCGCCTCAGCCTCCTCCACCTCAGTCCGAGATGCCCGACCTCAGCCACCTCACGGAGGAGGAGAGGAAAATCATCCAGGCCGTGATGGACCGCCAGAAGAAGGAAGAAGAGAAGGAGCAGTCCGTACTCAAGTAAGCACTGCTCTCCCTCCCCAGCCCGCTGGCGGCGCGGCCGCTCGGGAGAGGACGGGGCGCGCCGTCCCTCGGCTCCGCGCCTCCGGGGCATCGCCTGCCTGTGCGGGGCTGGCCGGTGGCGCGGCGCGGCGCGGCGCGGCGCGGGGTGGGTCGGGTCGGGCCGGGCGGCGGGCGCCTGACGGGAGCCTTTTGGGAGGCACAACGGAGGGCGCCCGCCGGTGCGTTTTGCTCCAGCTCGCTGGCTGCCTCTTGCCCGTGCTTCGTGCTGAGGTTGGGGGAGGAAGGCGCGCCGAGTTCCCTCCCCTCCTCGCTTTTCAGGCTCCTATTCGCCGCTCAGGCATGGACTGGGGCCAGGCACCCAATATGGCCGCACAGGTGCTGTTGTAGCCCGGTGTGTGCAAAGCTGATGGGCTGTGGCGGCGGCGGCGGCGGCGGCGGCGGCATGGCTGGCAGTGGGGTCTCGCCGGAGCCCGGCCGGCTCGCCGGTGCAGGGAGGCCCTCGTGCCGCCGCCGCCGCCCCAGCCGCGCTGCCCTCCGCGCGTGGGTTTCGCCCGCATGCTCCGGGCAGAGCAGGTTTATGCCGCCGAGGCCCAGGCGACTTGGGGTGGGTTTGCGAGAGCCGCCATCTTCCTCCAGCAACGCGTCGCCCTCCCACCCCTTCTGCACCTGCTCCTCGCTGTTCAAGCAGCGGTCTGGCAAGCGGCCCTTCCCTGCACCTGTGGGTCTCTCTGGTCGCTGGCTAGCGGCAGCGCGGGGCTCAGGCCTTGCCGGCGACACGAGCAGCCAGCTGCGCCATAAAGTCAGCTGCGGAACTGCTCGGCAACTTCAGCACCAGGGAGCTGTCCAGGCAGGGCGAGAGAGCCGTTTGTGGTCCTGATGAGACGCCTTTCGTCCTCGGCTCCAGCACCTCCGTTTGTGTTCCATTTATCAGTGCCGGCAGGAGGAACCATGTTTTCGATGAACGTTTGTTTCTTCTACATACATGTTGTGGATAATGAGATTCTCTGACTGGCTGAAATGCAAACTTCTTTTGTTTTCTTGACTGTTTAAAGGGCCTTTTTTGGTGGAGTGGGTCTTTCCGGGAATCATTATTTGCTTGGAAATATGGATTTTGCATTTTTGACTGTTCTATGTTTCACAGACATCATGTAATCAAGATGAAAATGTCTCTGTTTCTTATGTAATGGGCATATTGACTTCTACATTACTATTCATTGCTTCATGAAAAAGTTATTACATCCCTGCTGTAATTTACATTGTTTTTTTTTTTTAAATTTTGAGTCCCAATTTGCCATAGGGTCGGAAGAGATGCTTCTGAGTTTAAATACAGCTAAAAATATCCAGCCAAATTACTAGGCAATCATAGTGATGTTAACCCATTGTCTGGTTGAACTGCTGATTCAAAGCCTATAGCTGAGAGCTTTTGATTGGATTCTGGTTTAGTTGATGATTTATGTTGGAATCAGTGTATCACTAGGAACATGGTAGTGGACAATTACATACTTGTTTTTAGGCAATTTTTATCTTCATATAAAGATAGCAAGTGCTTAAAAGGATAACATGATTCTTACACTTAGCAATAATACTGACACATGTTGGCACTTCAAAGAAAGCCACTCACACTTATATTAAGGAAAACAAAATATCAAACTATCTTTGCTACTCCAAATGTGACTAATAATTTGAAGTAACTTACTGCTCAAGCAGACTTTCATGTTCCATTTGGTTGCTACATGGTCAAGAGTGTGGGCCTGGGGTATAGGAGATCTGGATTCTAGTCCCCACACAGCCATGGAGTTAACTGGGTAACTTTGGGCTGGTCACTGACTCAGCCCAACTTACTTCACAGGGTTGTTGTTGTGAGGATAAGATTGAGAGGAGGAGGCTTAAAGAATTTCTTGAGTAGTTCATAGTCCTACCCTTGGTATGCAGCTCTCTGTCTTTGTCTGTTTCAATGCAAGATAACAGTGTTACATGATAGCACTATATGGCTTCTGTAATTCCTGGCAGTATTTGCACATGTTGTGCAGTTGCAACATACTGGGCATGCTTGTGATGCTCAGGTGATGCTACAGATCACAACCTGATTCACATGTTAAAATTTTGGCAATTTTGACCTCTTACTTCCTGGTCCTGTAATATACAAATCTTAGCTGTGGTAGTTTATAAAAGAGAGATCTTTCTTCAACTAGTTTCTCCTCCCCTCCCCCCTTCTTTCCTTTTTTCTGCTGTGGCTGAATTTATTTTTAGAGGATGTAAATGTCTGAAAAAACCATGTAATTTTATGCAATTTGGGTTTTTCTTCACAAAAGTAATAATAGTTTTGGACTTCCTGGTCTCTTAAGTTACTTGTGTTTAAAAAGAGGAAGTAACTTCCAAGAATCATTTGTATACTTTTCAGTTTGATTTTCCAAGAGATCTCCTTTTTTGAAAAACCCATAAAATTAAGGTATTTTTTCCATTTGATTATTTATTTTGAAATGGACCTGATGTGTGTGGAATGAAACTCATGTTGGTTGTTGAAAGGGAGAAATTATACAATGTTTTATATAAGCATGGAAACCAGCTGAATGTTTAACTCTGCTGTTTTCCTCTGTGCCATTTCTACTTTGTTCAGATTGTCTAATGAGTCTGTCACTATGATATTGGAGTACTTACCAGAAGAGCATTCAGCATTGTCACTAGCATCTGTCACATCAATTATTTTTTTTTACTTCCTCTTCCCAGGGCAAAATTATGCATAGGCTTAGATATGTATTTGTGTATATCCCTAAACCCACTGCAGTCCTTTCTTCTCTTGCTATGCTTCTTTTGAAGAAACAAAGAGAAGTGGTGCAGAGTTAGAATCAGCAGGAGTTCATACTGATAAGGTCAGCATCCACTCCTGCTGGGATTTGCTGGAAGTTGATGACATCTGAAATTGCCATTTTGCAGGGTCACCTATTATTGATAGGTTGTGTATTGTAGAGGCACTGGGTGAATCTATGAGGTGTTTCTGTGGAAAGAATTGGACTTCCATGGGTTTGTATGTGGTGATTCCAGATAATTCTGTTGAGATTGTTTACTTTAAAGATAACCTATATAATGAGTGCTGGAAAAAGGAATATTTCTATAAACCTTATGTGGCAGTTACAGTACTTCTTACTAATTGTTGATACTTAGCTCACTTACCACACTTTCGTTCTGTGGATGAAATTACAGATCTAAAAGAGAGATTATAGTATTTATCACCTATGTGATAATTCTGTCTGTATCAATGAATGCCACATTTTTCCTCATGGCAATCTATTCTCAAATGACACAATTTATTTACTTATGATAGGACAGAAATACTAGCAACCAGCTTGCTCCCATTAGGTTGTGTTGGTTGGAATGACTGGCAATGCAAGAGGAACACTTCCTAAAGCAACCTCAGAAACTAGCCTGAACTATTTGTTCTGTGAAATCAGATTACTTGTTCTATTCCAGAAATGCCAATTTCAGTTCATTGCAGTTGTTGCAGGAAGCAGTAGTTTCCCATTGTACTGGTCACTCCCACATGAGGGATATGACCTCGGGGATTGGAAACTGTCCCAAATACTCAGTTGCCTAAACATGTAGTCACCATATGCATTATATTATTTATAATTTTGGGAAGATAGGCAACTCCTGGTAGGATTAACAGTTTCTCTTTAAATATTATTTAAATATTAAGTAATGGATGATTTGTACATTCTCCCCTCTAGAAATGGGAGGATAAGATTGTATGAATTATTTGTGCATTCAGCAGCATCATGCATCATGTTAGGGGTTTGGTGGAAGAATATGAACACTCACATTTCCCCATTATATAAAATATACATGGGCCCAAAGTTTCTTGTACCAAAGCAAATCTCCCAGCCATGATCCTGAATCAGTGTTACAAAGACACTATCCGGTCCTCACAGCAAGACTGCTCAGTATGGCGTAGTTTATAACACAGGGCCTATTGCATTATGCTATATGTCTGTAGGTACCAGTTTTGCATGGCATCCCCACGCACCTGACTTTCTGCGACTTCTCATGTAATTCAAACCCTGGTGGCAGGGGTTGCTTGACAGTTAGACAGCCCGTGTATCTCAAATCATCTAGACCTTTGATTTTCAAGTGCTAATGGAGGATTTTGTGCATCTTTGCATTTTGATTTTAAAATTGCTGATGATTAATTGTAATTAATTGCAATTGTATCATCTAATTCTATGATATGACCTTCTTAAATACATTAATAGGTTTTTATCATATTTCTTACTAGCTGTCACTTTCTGTATTATGTTGATTCTTGGGAAGATAGAAAAGCTTATAATAATGCTTGTACTGGCAACATTTCAATTTTGCCAGTAACTACTGCTGAAGTAATAACTGCTGAATTGCTTATGCATTCCTGTTTGAAATTAAGTTAATGAGCTTCTGCCCCTCCTTTACCTTTATTTCCTAAAAGGAGGTACAACTGGCATATCAAGCTCATGACAGTTAAAATTCTCAATCCAATCATTTTATACTCTTCCTTTTGACCAAATCAACCCCCAGTGCAGCTTGCAGTCATTAAAAACAACAGATCACAAATGTGTAAGGTGTTGGACTATCTTTCACAATGTGGTTTCTTTGCATATTAGACTTGGGCCTTGGCTTAAAAGCATGTCAGTGAAAATAACACATTCACCAATCACTGCTATGGTTGTTGTTACTGTTGTTGGTTCTATCACCACACTGATTTGCAGTGGTACATTTACTTGCACCATTACTGTGCTAAGCAACGTGCAGAATACTGTCACAGAAAGCTTGCAGTCTAAGACAGCCAAACTTAAAATTTGAAGGGAAAAGGGTGTGGTTTTATTAAAAGTATTGCAGCTGGGAGAATGGAGAATTAACGCGAAGCAACAAGGAATTGTTCACATATTTTCAGGTATGATCTGATACACTATGATTTCTCTAACACTGTATTGATCTTTATACTAACTAATTAACTGCTTTGGAAAAAC